CGCGAACAAAAGTTTTTGTAGGATTCGCGCCTTGGTCGCGTTTCTTCGACTTAAAGTAACTTTTTTTCTGTTAGGTATTTTATGGCTTTGTGCCAAGCACCTGCAGCCAACTGTGGATAAAATAACTTACTAGTTTCCATTTTCATTTTTTGACCGTCAATTTTTCTCCGTATACTCTCCGCTTTGATTCTCCCTTCGCTTTTCTTCCCCCCCCCCCAAAAAAAAAATTTCAACCACCAGGCGAAGAGGGCCTTCTATTTTTTTATATTGCTCCCAAATCTCGACAGAGTATTTAAATTGAGTACTACCAATGGGTGGACAGCACATTTCTCTACACAACAGGGTTGGGCGCTAACATGGAAGGAGTGAAGTGAGTAAGGCAAGATAGCAGCCAACAAAAGAGATTAGCCGCAAGTATGAAATGAGCTTCGATCGTTACGCAGATATGTAGAGAGCGTTGACCCTGCTTAAAAATTTGCGAAGTTAGGGGCTGCAATGTTGCCGAATACTTTGCCGTGAAGCATTCAATAAATCACTGAAGCTCTCCTTTAGTCGTTAGTTTTAATCCAAAGATATTCATGCGGATATTTTTTTTCAAATAGTTAAGTAAGGGAAATAATTTAAATATTGTTGTGATTCAAGTATTAGTGATATGGTTTTTAGTTGCAGTTTCCGAAAGTTGAGCCCATTTCATTACAACGCCTCGCTACGCTACAACTATTCGTGCTTTATGGTTGTCCGGGTTGCATGCGAGTAAATATGAAGGCGCAATGTCAGAAACGTGACACACTAGCATTGGTTGGTCCGACCTGCCGCACAGTGGACCGAGTCGGTCGGACAAAATTTTGAAACTTTAAATGCTTATTATAACTTCGTTTGTACGAAACTTCGAAGCTCTAGAAGAGGTTTCATTGGTTTCCTTGTAAAATTTCTTCCGAAAGCGTCCCCTGAAATTTAAAATGTGACAAAATGAACATCAAAATTTGCAGTTTTAGTCAAAAATTTCATGTCCGACCGCTTTGACTGACTCGATCCACTGTTTAGAAGAATCAAGACGGGGTACCCAGTGGCTTCCTTCTTGCCATGACATATCGATGGCCAAAGTGCGAAACCGACTGTATCTCCATTAGCGACGTTGCAGACTTCCTGTTATACTTAATTTTTTCTTTGGAAAACTATTGTCAACGTTTTTAGAAAACTACCTGGACTTTTCTTCTCGGATAGCAGAATATTCTGTATAAATTTCAAGCTATAAACTTGGCTTGTTTCTCTTCGGAAAATAAAATAAGAGCGGAAATTTTGGAACATCGCAATGGAGATACGTGGTTCCGTGCTTTGGCTACATATATCGTGCAGCACACAGATCGTACACAGATCACACTTCCATGAAAGAATCAAATAATACTTAACATTGTTGGTAAACACTGTTTCTATCGAGAGCATCATGGACACCTTAATTAGTATGCCGGGTTGATGTGGGATCCTACAACGTTATTACCGAGAGCACCGGTAAAATATCCAGGAAATACTGCTGTGCTGCTAGGGAAGAACGCTGTATCAAAATTAGGGAATTTCAAAAAACCCCGGATTAAACATACGTTCTTGAGGAAAGTTATGCATATTTTTCCTTGAAATTTTTACATGGATTAAATTGCAAACGATCTGGTCTGAAAAAATGGAAGAAGGATATTCATAAATTTCCCAGTAAATTCATTTTTTATTGGAGGAAATGTGGAAGGCTCATACATAGCGTTTTTCCTCAGCTTTCCTCGGCTTCCTTTTCATTAGCGACGGTGAAACTGCAGAAATGCGTACCTCGGTGTACGGCGTTGCAAACCTCCTGTCATAATTTATTTTCTACAGAGAAAATTACTGTTGAAAATTTCAGTAATTCTTCTTCTCTGTGCAAAAAATATTTTGTGAAAATTTCAAGTCATGATTTTAGTTCGCTCCCCTTTTAAGGAATGAAGTAGGAGCACGGAGATTTTGAAACTACGTGACCGAGATACGCGTTTTTGCAATTTCTCCGTAAATATTTTTCATATCGATGAGCGAAAAGCGGAAACCTCGTATCGCTATTACGGTGTTTCAAAATTTCTGCTCCTTTTGTATTTTTTCCATAGGAAGCAAGCCAACGTTTATAGCTTAGAATTTTTAAAGACTATTCTGCTAGCAGAGATCAGGGGATTACGGCGAGTAGCTTTCCACAGAAAAAACAAATAAGCATGAAACGAAGTCTACACCTCGCAAACGGCTCGGAAAGCCATCGATATGCTTCTTAATTAAAGGCATTATTCCAAAAAACAAAAAAATCTTCAATTCCTTGATTTTTGTTTACTTAATAACAGGTCACTTTAATGGCAGGGCCGGATTTTATGTGCCATTAGGCTACATAGGTTACGGCCTAGGTATGCGCAACATTCTGAGGGGTGCAACATTTTTGAAAATTCTAAAACATTTTTATAACATTTCGAACTTGTCACTTGTCACTATGTCACTATGTCACTTGTGCAACTGGACACCTCAAAATTGTTTAAAATCATGTTTTTTAAAGGTAAATCTGTACTATCTTCATATTGCCTAACATCTCCCTTCTAGTTGAGGGGGGTTGTATCTTAGAAACCTCCCTCCCCCACTTAAGGTATTTGCTGGTAAGGGCCCCCGCGCCAGACAAAATTCAGGCCCTAAATATGTAAGTTCGACCCCGCTTAATGGTGGTTTTCCTTGAGTGCAGCACGGAAATTGTGTGTACCTACTCATCGATGCTTGAGCAAAGAGTGCTACTTCGGCAACCCTGAGTAAGACGCTTTGTATGTCAAGACGAGACCTTGATGGACAGTCAAAGGGCTCAACTTTAGCGTTGCCAGATCGCACAAAAATGATCCTAGTTGTATACATATTTCGTCGCCCCTCTAACGTAAGGGCGTATCTGGATTTCCACATGAGCCCCAGAAAGCATGGAATTATATGTGAACCATGGCTCAAGCGAAAGTTGAGTTACGCTCTTACGTTAGAGGAGCGACGATATATGTATTGAAGAAAACTGCGGCAATCTGTGAACCCGGCCAAGCTCAAGGAAAGCGGGGAGCGATGAACCGAGAATTTTAGATTGTCGATAACACTGTGCGTAATTAATGGAATGGCAAGGGCACTCAATCGAAGGGGTTGGGGTGGGTACGGTCGGGAGGTAAACTTCGAGGGGGAATTATGGTTGGGGCGTTGAAAATTCCTCGTCCATTCAATCAGGAATGACCTTGCTATGGAGACTCATGATTTTTTCAATGATCAGTGATAGGGAACCTATTCGGGAAAGCTATGGAATTTAACAGGATGGGGAAACATAATACTGAATCCATTAGATGGGAGAATTCTTAGTCTCAAAGTATCGAAACTCTAGTGGAGGAGTGTACATTCTTTCGGAAAAATTATGCGTCCGAACATTGTGAGAGCGAATTCTCGGGTCAAGGGTAAGTTTCGTCGTTTTTCCGCATGCCGAAGAAAAAAAAAAATTTCAATGAAGGTTCGTCTTAATGGTGTTATTCTTAAAAAGCAGAATAAAATTGTACCTACTCGAGATGCTTGAGAAAAGAATGCAAAAAATATATACCGACGCGACGATGACACTATTAAACCACGTATCTGGTTTGTGGTGTTTGAAAATCTCCGCTCCCATTTTATATTTTTGAAGTAGAGTAAATCAATATTATTCCTTGACATTTTCTTAGAGTTTTCTTCGCACAGAGAAGAAAAATCGCGGAAGTTTTCAAGAATTGACGTTGAGTGGTTTTCTTTTTAAAAAAAAAAAAAAAAAGTATGACAGGAAGTCGTGCATCGTCGCAAACCGAGATACGTTGTCTGGTAGTTTCACCGTCGATATTATGAATACCGATTGCCAAAGTGCGAAACCACGTATCTACTTTGCGGTGTCTCAAAATGTCCGTTCCTGTTTGATTTTTTCGAAGAAAATTAAATTAACTTTATTCGGCTTAAAATTTATACAGAATATTCTGCTGCAAGAAAATACGTTGACTAGTTTTCCGAAGAAAATATAAAGTCCGACAGGAAGTCTGCAACGTCGCAAATGGAGATGCGTGGTTTCACACTTTTGGCCGTCGATAAGTAAAAGAATAACATAAAACTGTGGATTTGGTAAAACTTTCAACATTCTTAAAAGATGAGGATTATTAAGTCTTGCCCCCAGGTGGATGATATCATATCCGACTTTTGACTGAATATTTAAAACTGTTTCCTCTCTCCTCCGAATCCAACTTTTGAGCGTCGTCAAAACTTCCAAAATTCCCAATTTCTCCAATGTACCTATGGGTTATTAAAAGGCTAATACGGATGAAATCTGACAATTTCGTTTTGCAGGCCTCATTTTACTCTCTTATTACTAGAAAACAAGAGATTTTGAAATTTTGGTCACAGACTGCCGGGATTACTTGATTTTTTTTACTCCCATGATCCGTGCTGATTCGGCGAGTAACGACTTAAATGAACCACCCTCGGCTCTTTCTAGGGGATAGAGTTTTTTTTTTCTTCTGAAACCGCGAAAAACACTTATGCCGGATACTTCACCGATTACAGGAAGGAAATTCACCGTCGTCATCCAATCTTACAGAAGAAATAGAACATAATTCTGGTCAAAACATGATTTTTCAAATCGTGACTTGTCAATGTTCTTTTTCCATGTCATCTTAAATTGACATCTGTCCTTGTTCTGTTTTTTTTCTTTTTTTCTGCTGGTTTAATGGCTTCGTTCGTATCTGGCCTTGTTCTGTTGAGATTCTTGAACTCAAATCAAGCGCTGAAATATTATGAGTATCATCATTAGAAACAAATATTCTGGCGTCGCGTGGCACCATCTTAACGCCAAATACAATTTTTTGTTCTCCTGACAGAGACCGGGCCGGTGGGGGCAGACATACATCAACCAGTTGTACCTATACGACAAGTGGCTCTCTCATCAGTCTTTAACGTTATTATGTTTGTGCTTTCAGAGAGAAATGGATGCGCATTCAGAGAACTATACAATTATCTGAAATGATGGTAAGCAGCGGGCAGTTGGACACGCTTCGAAAACCTCGCTTAAGAAATGTGTTTAACATGATATGGGCTGCGCTTCGAGCAACCAACAACCACAATCTGTAAGTAATAGTAAAACATTTCTTGGAGAAAATATTTGTGGCATACGTGCGATTTCACTTAAGTCTCACATAATTAATCGGTCTTTTCCCGTGGAATTGAACAAGTTTATTTGCTTGATTGAACTCAGACATTTTTTCATATGTGTCTATGATAACCAGGAGCTGAATAAGCGCTAGTTGCTAGTCACATCTGACTGCATAAAATTTCTGCACCATTATCAGTAAACCTAGCAAATCATTATTCTTGGTATCGCAACTATCACCATTTAGCAACGCTGCAAAGATAATGCACAGTTCGCCCAAATTCCAAGGTCCGATTGCATTTCTGCAACACGGACGTCTTATAAGCATAAATAATTGTGAGCAGGACAGGCGTTGCAGTTAAAAAATCAGAGCGCCTGCAATTTTGCGTGTATGCAACGCGGACGTCCTATGAGCACGAATAGTTGTATCCAAATGTTGGCATTAAGAAATCCATTGCGCCTTCAATTTTTTCTCGCTTGTGAGAATGGATGTAACAGCATTGCATTGCCCATCAGCATTATATTGCCTCATTATATCAATTTTATTGCTCTTGGAATATGAGAAGTTTCCAGTTTTTCGACTAGTCAGACACCAAGAAAACTTGTGTTTCATGACCAATCTGAAACGGGATTTCGACGATAGTATCGTCTGGTGCTCCTCTGATAGAAACATTATTATATGCCTAATTCAATAGGTCTATGCCCCATCAAAATTCAAGGTTGCTTATGGGTCCAAACAATCCAATTTATTACAAGAATGTACCCATGCAATTTTCGTTCAAAATTTTTGTGATTTTTGCATAAGATCAGAAGAAAAATCAGTAAACGTTTCAGATAGGAATGCCCAGGATTCTTCTCGTAAAAATTCAGTTAGTGAGGGACATTTTGGCAACATTAAAATTTAGTTACGATCTTTCATGGGGGCAACGACAATCCATAAATCAAAAATTTCATGCGTGGTAATTAATGGGCCAATTGCGCCGGTTACAGATTCGTGGTTCGATGATTGATTCTTGTAGATTAGTTAAAAATAATTAGATCGGTCTAAACAGCAACTCTCTATGTTCATTATGAACAGAGATATCGCGTTTTGAAAAAGTCAGTTTATGACGTCATCCACCGCGACAGTGACACCCTTGGTTTCTCTCACCTTGCTTTTATCAGTAAGGGGGGCACATTTTTGCACTGGTTACTCAACATGTAACTCGGATGAAAGCAAGGTGAAAGAAACCAAGGGTCTCGCTACCGCGGTTGATGACGTCATAAACCAAATTTTTCAACGCGCGATATCTCGGTCAATATTCAACGTAGGAAGTTGCTGTTTGGACGGATCTCATTATTTTTAGCTAATCTACGAGAATCAATCATCGAACCGCGATTCTGTGACCAGCGCAACTAAATATATTTCAGGAATTGACGAAAGTAATGGGCGAAAATCTTCTGGATTCGTATTTGCAAGTGGAGAAGGACATCTGGAACGAGGAGCAGGATGCACCAGCTCCGAGATTGGGCCACGCGATGGCCCGACTGGACAGGCTCAACACGGAGATCGAAACCACTCTCGCCAGCCTCACGGAGGACCGCGAGTACAACGTCCTGGCTTCCAACGTTCTCACAGATCATGTCGCGTGAGTTTTAACCTCCATAAAATACCTAAAGGAAGGAGTCAAACTTTTTCAGGGTGTCTAGCATCAGGAAAAACCGGAAAAACCGGAAAATATCAGGAATTTTGGCCGATCAGGATAAAATCAGGAAAATATCAGGAAACTCGGAGAATCGGACGTCTTATCCGGAATTTTTCTTACGCAAATTTCCTCGTCCTCAGCGGAGAAAGTCTTACTGCTATTTGCCTACCGTGCCAGGAGTCGAGAAAAATTAGGAAAATATCAGGAATTTTCAAAATGAAAAAATATGGAATTTTTTATAAAATATCAGGAAAAATCAGGATTTTCCAAAATTAAAAAATACTAGACACCCTGTTTTTATAGTATTTTAAACTATTGCAGTACTCACACGTGATTGTTGCGAGGAACTATTAAAGGGGGGGGGGGCTCCGGGCTCCGTGACGGTAAATTTACATTATTGTGTGTGCGTCCCTTATAATTTTTTATGTCTGCCCTCCAAAAGTAAAAAAAAGTACAATTAACGAGGCTAAGGGTGGGGGGACAGACCCCCTGCAACACCCCCCCCCTTGTCTACGCCACTGAGTACTTTTACGTGTTTGTTGCAAGGAACTCTTTTTTTGAAATGGTTTTAGTGTGTCTTTAATTAGTTTGGAGAGGAATATGCCGCATCGATAGTGAAGCTACCAAACCACGTATCTTGGTTTGCGACGTTACAGATTTCCTGTCATACGTTGTTATTTAAATGGGAAACTACTGACAGTCTATTCTTGAAAAATTCGTAATTTTGCTTCTCTGTGCGATGAGGCAAATTCTGAAAAACCTTAAGAAATGATTCTGATTTTTTCTCCTTTGAAAAAATGAAACGGGAGCGGAGATTTTTAAACACCGCAAACGAGATACATGGTTTGGTAGTTTCACCGTCGGTACACTGAAAAAAAAATCTCGGTGTATTTACTAAGAAAAGAGTAAAATTACCAAGAATTCAGGGTTCTATTTGATCCCAGTTGTTTCTTGGTAAAATTACCATTTATGGAATTGGTAATTTTAACGAGAAATCCGTTTTACCGGTTTTTAGGTAAGCTTACCAGTCTGTCTTGGTAAAATTACCAATAATTTAGTAAAAAAAGTGAGATGGTAAAGGTACCAACGGACTTCGGTAAAAACGCTGAGAATTTTTTTACAGTGTATGTAACGAAGGAAATGACTCACAGACTGTCCATCGTGTGCTTCGCATTTTCTCATTAATATTTTTAAGAAAATATGTTTTTAAAAAACAAAAAACAAAATCTACTTTGTTTATGTTATTCATTTTGTATTTCATTCGTGCTGACAGAAGAATTTATGAGCTCTGTGCTCATTTTACACTCGAAGCTGTTTGATTGATCGTTATTACCGGTTTGACTATTGATTGTTGCAGGATGATAGAAACCTCGGACGAATCAATAAGGCGTTGCCTTGTTGAACTGGAAATTAATAGGAATATGCAACAAGCCTTAGAGCACGAGGAATTTATAGCCAATTTGACTCGGAAGGTATGGTTTGGTATACTTCTTACGAGGAATTTATTACCAAATAATGTAGGTCTAATGTGTTTAAAATGGAATTGGAGAGAATCAGACCTCGAGAATTTCGCCATTGGAAAATGTTTTTGACATAAAGCTCATTTCCGGTCAATATCTGACCTACAGAGGGAAGATGCGTTTGAGCGGGAAATGAACTCACTCTTAGAGGACCTGTTCATTAGAGCACACGCGGACCTCTTGACATTCATGAGGTTTTCAAGGACAAGTGTCTAAAGGAAAACTCTTAATGAGTAACAACGTAATACTCATGATACCTATTGAAGACTCTTGAGGAAAACTGTCCATGTTTTAAATGCACGAGGGAATCTCCGTCTTTACTTCTCGGTTCGACGAAGGGTCTCTTGTACATTAATGATTCTTCATGACGACCTGGTATTCGTAACATTTTATTTTTCTCACGTCCTTTTCAAGTGTTTGTTAGATCTGGGAGAAAATGACATCTTGGCATCTTAAAAAAAACTCCAACAACGGTACCAGTTACAAATACGCAAAAAACAACAGCTCACTGAGAGAGAAAATTATTGCTTGTCATTTTGCGAGATAAGAGATTTCGTCGCCATTTTGATGTAAGGGCGTATCTCAATATGAACGTGAGCCCTGTCATAGATATGAAACAATGCTCTCTGGGGCTCATGTGGAAATCGAGATACGCTCTCATGTAAGAGGAGCGACGATTTTTCAAGAGACCTTTCATAGGCGATCCTAAAAGCCTATGGTACCTAACTGCTTCTATAATTGACAAGATTTTTAGAGTCATTAAAATGGTAATATTTGAGTATTTATTCATTAAAAATCGAAGGTGAAAAAAATTAAACAGCATTTATATGAGAGATAGCTAGGGGGTTGTAGAAAAAAATAGAAAGGTGCCGTATTCAAAAATTATAAAATTTTCCGTCTCTCAAGTGTGATGTAAATACTTACCTTCGTTTCGATACACATCCCTGGTAAAAATTGGCTGTAGAATGTGTGTTCCAAAATGCTATAGACCTAAAGCCGGCTGTAAGCTTTCCAATAGCTTCTGTAGGCGGCTGTACAAATTCTTACAGCCTTTTATTGCCGATGGCGACTAAGCAACAGCCAGACGATAAAGTTTATGCTAAACATTACTAATTACGGATACTAGGACTTAGTTAGTTTTTGGACTACCGCTCTCTTTTTGTGCCGTAGTATCTTGATTTATTTTGCGAGGAAAGCTCCGTACTTTTGAAGGATGCTTGTCATTCTTAATATGTTGGAGCGCCTTCAATTTCTTATGATACTGTGCAATACCTCTGGTGTGAAATAGTTGCTTCAGACGCCGTGGCACGCTGTGGCGAGGCGAGGCGGGCAGCCAGCGCGAAACGCGCATTGGCGCCTACAAACCTAACAGGGATACTTCACGCATTGCGCAATGCGTGAAGTATCCCTGTTAGGTTTGTATAGGCGCCAGTGCGTCTCCGCTCCGCTTTGTGTTAGGCTCTAATATTTAATCTCGCGGAGTCAGCGTTTTTCAACTCATGATTTTGAAATGTTTGCTAACTCTGTATGGACTATTCTCATTTTACTTGATGAAAAAAAATATGTTCTAAAGGAAAATATAATGTGTGTTTTGTAAATATTAAGGTAGTTCCGTATCAAACTTAATGATTTCCAAAGCACACGAATTTCTACACACAATTTCTAATAGCCTCTTATAGCCAATGACGATAAAGTGTAAAGCCCGGCGATAGGAACCATAGCCCGACTGTATACTTTTTTATAGCTTCGTAAAGCCCGGCTATATGATTTGCTCCGCTTTCTACAGTCAGCTGTATGATTTTCAATAGCCATCTTTAGTCGGCAATAAGAACTCCTATGGTATTTTGAAACGCAGCTTCTATTGCCAATTTTTACCAGGGATTGCCTTGATCGCAAATTTTGATTTTGTTTCAGGCACTTAAAACTCACCAATTGTACCTGTTGAATAGAAAAAAAATGGACACCGAAGACGAAATTACTAAATTAAGTGAGAAAGTTCAGCGATTGCAGAGGCTGTACGAACACCAGGAACTTATTTTAGGTCAGAATAAGCACGTGCCGCTTGAATTCTACCCTTGAGTATAACTTAATTTGTCTTAGTAATTCAACATCAGTAAATAAGCCCATCGAATCCCTGATTTAATCAAAACCTGGAGTAAAAAGGATGATGCCATCTCGTCCTAGCGGGACGCCCATTCCTGAACAGCACCTCTTCCATTTCCTCAAAATTTTTCAAGGTACACTTTAAATGGACTGAGCTAAGCAGAAAGGAATCAACCCACATTTTGGGAAAAATTGAGTTATGAGTGGTTTTGAATTCAACCACTGCCTACCAGGTACCTATAGCCAAAAATTCAAAGTTTTTGTTGGAGCAAATTTTTCAGAAATTGAACTTGAAGTTTATCTTTTACATCGAGTTTTATGCAGGAGCCAAACTTTAAACAAGAGCATTCCAATGTCGCTAACCTTGCAAACATAAACTATCATCTAAACTAGTTTCACCTCTACTCCCAATAAACTATGAATTCAAGACGAAAATTACCGTCGCAAAGTTTACTTTTTGCAAAGAATGTACCTATAAGTTGCACAATCCCAGCAACATTGAAATGCTCTTAGTTCCTTTTTGCAAAATGCGATCCAATTGGTTGTTGCTGCAAAAAAAAAATAGTTTCCTACAACCTGCTATACAATGCTCCAGTGACCGTGTAAGTTGGCCCGAGCACTAACTTTTCGGGAAGAAAGCCTTTCCCCTACCTGGTTTCTCACTTAATATCCGCCCGAGTTTCGCATATCTTCCGTTTCTCCTCATCGCACCTTCCATCAAACCGCAATTGCCCGGAAACTAGGACTGCACATCTTATCTGATAAAATCGTTCGCCCTTTAGACCGATCTTGGGCTATTTCTGGCTAGACTAGTCGATGATTCAACTGTTGATCTAATTTCATTACGTGAACGTAGAAGAAAAACGGGGTAAAAAATCACAAATGCGTGATCAATTTTCAAGGACAATTCTGTAATTTCTCCAACGATTTTAAATAGATTAAAACGCGTAATATCCAAAATCTAAGCTCAAATTCGGATTCCTCGTGAAAAATTGATGCGATTTCATGCATCAAATTTTAGAATAGCGTGAAGGAGAGAGGTTTAATGACGTAGAAAAACACTAAATGTGTGATCAAGGTTCAAGGACAATTGTGTAATTTCTCCTACAATTTTAAATAGATTAAAACGCGTAATATCCAAAATCTAAGCTCAAATTCGGATTCTTCGTGAAAAATTGATGAGATTTCATGCATCATATGTTAGAATAGTGTGAAGGAAAGAGGTTTAATGACGTAAAAAAACACTAATGTGTGATCAATTTTCAAGGACAATTCTGTAAATTCTCTTACGATTTTAAATAGATTAAAACGCGTAATATCAAAAATCTAAGCTCAGATTCGGATTCCTCGTGAAAAATTGATGAGATTTCATGTATCATATGTTGAAATAGCGTGAAGGAAAAAGGTTTAACGACGCGTATAGATTCTGTCATACTACCCGTTTGAACTACGCCGCCGCGCGGGTCGCCCGGGTGAAACCGAGCGGGGAGGCGCCGGCCGGCGCTTTACGTTCAGTTTCGTCGCGAGGAATTCCTCGAGATAAATTCTTATTCTTCCTCCTCCGCTGACCCACTGAGCACTACCCATGTTGCCACGTTGGATTCATATGCTCGAATCAGTATGTCTACGTTACGTCTCTTTCCTTCACGCTATGCTCGGGTATGATACATGAAATTATATCAATTTTTAACGAGGAATCCGAATCTGAACTTCGATTTTGGGTATCACGCGTTTTAAGTCAAATTTTCCAAATTCGAAAATCTGAAATGACTGACGTGGCTTAAAATGCCATCTCGGCTCCTGCTCGATGGATTTTCCTGAAATTCGGTGTCAGGGTATGATACATGAAATCGCATCGATTTTCTACGAGGAATCCGAATCTGAACTTCGATTTTGGGTATCACGCGTTTTAAGTCAAATTTTTCAACTTCGAAAATCCGAAATGATTGAAGTGGCTTAAAATGCCATCTCGGCTCCTGCTCGATGGATTCTCCTGAAATTTGGTGTCAGGGTATGATACATGAAATCGCATCGATTTTTTACGAGGAATCCGAATCTGAACTTCGATTTTGGGTATCACGCGTTTTAAGTCAAATTTTTCAACTTCGAAAATCCAAAATGACTGAAGTGGCTTAAAATGCCATCTCGGCTCCTGCTCGATGGATTCTCCTGAAATTTGGTGTCAGGGTATGATACATGAAATTGCATCGATTTTTTACGAGGAATCCGAATCTGAGCTTCGATTTTGGGGATCACACGTTTTAAATCAAAATCTGTCAAAATTCAAAAAATTCAAAATTCGAAAATCCGAAATGGCTTAAAATGGTATCTCGACCCCTGTTCGATAGATTTTTCTGAAATTTGGTGTCAGCAGGTATTTTTCGACGGGAAACTCGAATTTTTAGTCCATTTTTTAAAATTCTCAAATTCAAGATGGCGGACGTGGGCTAAAATGCTATCTCGGTTTCTGTTTGTTCGAGTCTTGTGAAACGCGGTATCACACGGTATTTTTCAACGGAAAACTCGAATTTTTAGTCAATTTTTTAAAACTCTCAACTCCAAAATGTTGGATGTGGCCTAAAATGAGCCCCGGTTCTGGCCTCCGTTTCTGTTCGTTAGAGCTTTGTGAACCGCGGGATCAGGGGTACTTTTCGACGGGAGACTCAAATTTTTAGTCGATTTTTGAAAATTCTCAAATCCAAGATGGCGGACGTGGCCTAAAATGCTATGTCGGCTCCTGTTCGATGGATTTATGGCGCCCCCTCACTACATGCCTACTCTTGTATTTCTGTACAGCCGCAAATTTAGGGCCAAGGGGCGCCTGACCGTCTATGGACCAGGTGGAGTTTTTGTCCTGAAAATTTACCTTTAGACGGCAATTCTCTTTTTATTTTGTCTATGGTTTTTATGCCCCCCCCCCTTTCTCGCGGACTCTCTTTTCACTTTTCTTCCCTCCTTTTTCCTTCCATTTCCCCCCTTCTTCCTTGCTTTCACTGCCCAACCTTAATTGTTTCCTTTTCCTTTTTTCCCCTTGACCTTTCTTCCCTTTTTTTCCTTTTCCTTTTCCCCCCTTTTTTCCCCTCTCTTCTCCTTTCGTGGCGCCCCCCAAAGGCTGGCGCCCGTCTGCGCCGCACGCCCTGCACTCGCCTTAAGTCCGGGCCTGAAACCTCTTTTTCTCGGTTCGATCCCGATGTGGCTTGGTTTTTTTCTGTTTAACTCCGTCCAAATAAGGTTGCTGACAAACAACACTCTTGTTTAAGCCCCCTAGTTATTAAAAACCCCAACGACAACTCCTCACGTGATACAATTCAATATAATTTTATTGAAGTCAATATAAACGTTCATAATTTCGATTAAAATATATTGATATCAATTTCAGTCGAGGGACTCGGTGCATCTGGATCTAGATCTGAAGTAGAACTAGACCGAATACGAAGTTACAGGGATACGCTTTACAGCGGTGAGCTCACATGGATGGAAGCGATCAAACTTGTTCAGGCCTCCAGTGTTCTTACCAGCGCTGGCGTTGATAGTTGGTTAGCCCTACAAAGTGCCGTGTAAGTAAGCAATAATTATTGAAATATTACCTAATGCTTAAATTTAAGACCCTAGAGATACCCGCATTTGGTACATGAGGACTTATCTGTAACAATAGCGGATGTGAAAAATTACCTTTTCGAAACACATTCAAAAAACTGTTTCGGCATCGAGAAAATTTTGAGAAAATACTTGAGATGTGACTTTCGAGATCTGTACATTATGCCAGAGCCAAACATATTAAATTTGTGTGTGAACAAAACAGTTTTTTAAGTGTGTTTCTAAAAGGTAATTTTTCACATCCGCCATTGTTACATATAGGGCCTCAAATGTATATAGAATCCTCTCCTGATTTAGCGACCCTCTACAATGACGTGGGCATGAGAGCATACCCCAACTGTATATGTATTACAATTTTCAATTAGGAACCATTATTTCTGGCCCATTTTAGAAACATCATACATGACATTGCTTTCCCTATGCAGATATGTGCTTTTATGGGAGAGCCAGAGATAGTGGTCCCTTCCTGCAAAATGTAATCCAACTAATGTAGGTTTAATTTTTTTACTTAATTGAATAGCAGGGGCCGACCTCAAATGACGCCAGACATTTTTTCCAAGAATAAATTTACCCCTTTTCCGGTTTTTGACCCCTCCTTCCCCTTCTTCATGTTCCCATTCCCTCTCCCCCTATACCTCAAAGGGGTGTATGAGACAGCACTATACCCCCCTCCTTCCCCTTAGTTATTAGATTTTTTTTCATTGACGACCAATCAGTTACTTAGTACCAGAGACGAAGAATCTCAGTGCTCGAGAGGCGGATCCAGCAATCTGGCAACATTGGATTGCCTCCATTTAAACCTATGCTAAATAACCGATTCTTGTTGAAGCACCTGACCCCTCTAAGAATCGATACATTTCCATAGGTTGAAATGGAGGAAAGACAATGTTGGCAATTTGCTGGATCAGCCAATACAGTGCTCATTTGGAACGCATGTGATGGACTTGGAGGACAAGGCGAATTAGTGTAGTTTTTGCTATTTCGAGAAATACGTGTTTCAAGTTTCGAAATTACATGGATCCTTATGACGGAAAGAAAGTTAAAACTGACTTTCAGATGCTTAAAAATTGGAATTTAGGAGCGAATTTTTCACCGAATATGCATTGAGACAAGTTTTTCTTGTAATCATTGAATTCTCAATTTTTTCAACGTAACGATGTAATGTTTGAAGTATCTCTTCGACGTCGAAGGCGCTGTAAACGCTGCTTCCCGGCGCCCTATATGTTGCCTACGATAACTCCAACCGTGACGTTGGTTCTCATGATATAATCGTGGTGCCAACTGTTTGTGAGTCTCATAGTGGAAATAATTATGTTTTCGATCGAGTTTATGTCCAGAATCTCTCTGTGGAACCAGAGTTATCATCAGAACTGCCGATCGATAATATTAGAGTACCTATATTGAGAGAGTATGGCCACTTGACCCCATGGAGAGGCTTAGGATCCAAAAATGGCGGTGCTTTGTTTTGGTTTTTGTGGATGGGAGGGGGGTCATTGCCAACTTTTGACGGTTACCACCAACCGTACTTGCTGCCAACCTTACTACATTCAAAATAATTTTTCTCAAAAATTGCACACGATTAGTCTTAAAAATATGTAAAGAAGTCGCAAGAGTGCATTTGAGTAAATTTCTCGTTCCGATAAGCGAAGAAAACTACATTTTGAGTCATTTTGCATTACATTAATTTATGGCGTCCGCCATTTTGGGGTCCTAAGGGCTCGGGCTCCATTCAGCCTAAGATGGCTGAGCCAATCAGAGGTGGTAACGCCAGTGGCCATACTCTCTCAATATATGTACTCTAGATAATATCGTCTCTCGATAAATGCGGTAGACAGCGCACCTTGTCCTCCAAGTCCCCCATATATGGAACGCTAGTGAACTGAGTAGTAAATTAAAACGATGAGATTTTGAAACGATGCAATGGAGATTTTTTCGAGTTTAGTTGTCGATATTCAATATTTGCGTAAACACGCATTGCGATGAAATCATTTGACTCTTTATTTATCATTCAAAATGGTTTTCGACGTGTTTCTAGGTCTGCGGACTCGCGATTTACCCTCGCGACGGAGACTAGGAATACGATTCAAGAAGCAGCTTTGAACGTTCAAACAGCGCAGTCACTTTTACCAGCAGTATCATTCCCATATTGTACGTCGAGAGAAATTTTAGCAATACTTCAGGTAAAAATCCATCTCCTTTTTCTAAAGCATAATGGCATCATCTGCCTTGATAACTAAAATTTGAAATGACCAAGATTGTTTTCTTTCTTTTAGATTCTTGAATATATTTACACCGACCTGCAAATATGGGAAAGGTACTCACACGCGACTGAAGTGTACAAGAGCTTCCATAAAAGAGTGTCTGCACTAGCCAAGTGGATTAATCAGGTGAACGTGATTGAAGTTATTCAATTTAACAGAATATTACCTTATCAGCACGGTGCAATGGAAATATTGAAATAAAATTGCGATTTTTTTTTCATCATGAAATTTCAATATTTTTACAGTATTTGGTCAATAAATGTCGATTACAAACAATCAACAAAATGAGCAGATAGGCAATCTGAAATGCAATGAAAAATTGGAACTTATTTCAATTTCATTGCATAAAATGATCTCGCCCCATGATTGTATTGAACCGATTTGGAGATATCGTTCACTTGAAGTTCGCCTTCAATTTACTCAGATAGGCAATGAACCTACCGCGAAGCGTAAAGTTGTTTATTCCGATCCATGTTTCCAGTTTTGTCACTGGACTAACTGAGCCCGTTATACAATAGACTTGTCCACCCGAAACTCGCCCTGAAAATTTTGGAAAAGCTCATGAGTAATTGTCAGGGAAACTGTTGTTGAAGTAGGAGTGGAGAGGGACACAGCAATGGTGACACCTAAAAGGTTCGTAAAATGTGTAGAACAATTTATGGCTGTTTATGCCCATGCCCAAAATTCTTTGGAGTCCATATACTCTTTTGAGGGACACTCCAAAGAGTTTGCGGCATCATAGGCAACTGATAATGATGCTAAAAATGGCCACAATAAAATATTTTTTAACTTTGACAATTGAAATTATACCATGAGTTGTAAAAACAACCTGCTGCTGCATATCTATGGCTAAAGTGCGGAACCACGTATCTCCGTTTCCGACGTTGCAGACTTCCTGTCATGCTATATTTTTCTTTATTTGGAAACTAGTCAAAATTTCTTGAAGACTTCCTTGGTTTTTCTTCTTTAGCATAATAAGTATTTCGTAAAAATCTTAAACTAGGTATATTGACTTGTTTCTCCTCGAAAAATAAAATAGGAGTAAAGATTTTGAATCAGCGCAATGGAGATACGTGGTTTCGCACTTTAGCCCTCGATATCCCACCTAATTTTACTTTGATCCAACTTGAGATATTCTGCATCGGTAATTCTTACAATTCATTTGCCTCTAAAGTTGGTTCACCGAGAAAATCAATCCGAGAGTGACCTCTACCACGCATACAAGAAGAAGAAAAAAATTGCACGTAAGTATGGTTTATGGCCGAATAGCGAGGTATCTGTAGTGCTAGCTCACATCATTATGTATATTATAATTGGAATATTTATAATGAAAAAATACTCATTCTAGATGATGGAGGACACCATCGTTAAGGACGTCTATGAGGTAGATCAAAAAATTGAGGTTCTCTCAGGTGAACTGCGGAGTGAGAGAGTGGAAAAAATCAAACAAAAGGTATGAACTAAACTCTTAGCATAACTACCTGACTGTAAATATTTGAAAACTTGACTGTAGTTGCGTTTGAAAGAGGACACTATGTTCAGAGCATGATATGATGGAGGAATGACATAAATCCGCATTAAATCGTCATAAAGGAGTAAGTGTTATCTTTTATGAATGATGATTGACACTTTATCCCTTTGATGAGTAGTAGTACATGTAAAACATTTCATCACAGGTATGAAGAGACAAATACAAAATCTGTAGGATTTTTTTTTTTTTTTTTTTTTTTTTTTTTTGAAAAATCTTAATAATTTTTAAAGGCCAGAATTTTACGGAGATGTACATATTTAAATTATTGATGCGTTATCTTTGGACTTGATTCGTCACAATCCTAAGCAAAGTATGAAATAATCATATGAGTATGGAAAAGAACATCTGTAACTGTTACATAGATGCACGTTTTATAATATTCTCTTGGACTCACGTGATTTCGAAAAGAGGCTCGAAGAAACGTCTTGGATCCTGCAGGATAGGGCATTTGGTGTATGAAGTAGATCTTTTTTTCACATTGCGTTGAGTAATTTTTTATTTTCTCACATGCATGCAGGTTTAGAGTTTGTGAAATAATTGCTCATAGAAAATTGCTGCCATAAATTTAATTGTGCCACAATATCATACTGGATGCCGCTACTTTTGGAAGTCGACCAGTTTGCGATGTAACGAGGGGTGATCCGAAAATGCAGCACGTGGAAGATACCCACAGACCTGTGATCCAGCATGTTTGTTCCTCTTTTTCTCATTAAGTTTCCAAATTTTATCAACTGTTTATAAGTTCACTTTAATAAATCCTAAAAAATTTGTTGTCAGATTTACTGTGGTGTAGCTAAATTTATTTACTGGTGCGTATCTCTACTTTTTCAACCAGACGCAAGTGTTTGAGCACAGATCAAAGCTTAATGTTATATTCCCGATTGAAAAATGAAGGCCGGGCCAGTGGCGTTTGATTTGCTGGTGGCATGATAACTTAAGAAAGATTTTTTGGTTTTCTCTCTATAGTGTCTTTATCTTCCTTCGTGCCACTTGCAAGCGTATACCATAGGGTACATAGAGTCGTAATGTAAGTGGGAGAGCTGGCGCCACTTTTAAACATTTTCCATGTCCCGAATTCCGAGACTCCTGTGTGACGCCGGGTCACTTTTTCGATACATAATCGATTGTTTGCGATACACGGGTACCCGGCCATCCGATGACAACAACAACAACAACAACAACAACAACGGAGATAGGAATTACCACGTATTCCACACCGCCATTTTGGATCGAAAATGTATCGAAAAAGCGACCCGAACTCGGCGCACACCGGGCTCGGAATTCGTCGAGCAGAACATGGCGCCAGCTCTCCCATTTACATTACGACTCTATGTACTCTATGGCGTATACCTACTTCGCCCAATAACAACATGACATGTATCTACCCGGGTCACCTACCTAAATAATTTTTTCTGCTGCAGTTCTGATATGAGACTCACTTACACAATTTAATAACTCTCAGCAGTCAGTAGCGTGGCATCCTTTGAAATATATCGATTGATTTGTCATTCAAACTTATGAAAAAGGATCAATGAACAGGGTGTTTGCAAAGAACACCTTGGTGATCGATTCTTTACCACAACTTAAAATCGGGAGATATCGATGGCCTATCATTCATGCACGTTTCGCCACTACTCTCAGTTCTAGCCTTGTGTCTAGAAAATAGACCTTTAACTTTCATACGATGATTTTTAGAGAAAAATTGGTTTACCTAATTGTTTTACGACAATTAGGCAACACTGTAAATTTGTATGTATCAGCGCCTATGTACATATCCGCAATAGCTTGACCCTCGGGAGGATCAATCGAGGGGCTTGGAAGACAAGGCACAAAAGTGCAGTTTTTGAAAAATTGAGGTATTCATGAACTCAACTAAAACTACTTTGAAAGTATATTCTGTGAAAAATTCACGACTAAAACACAACTTTAAGGCATCAAAAAGTGAGTTTCTCCTCCTTTTTGCCATAAGGGTTTATGTAATTTAGAAACTTTAAACACGTATTTCTTGAGAAAGCAAAAACTGCACTTATGCGCCTTGTCCCCCAAGCCCCTCAATTATTGAATGGTTTTTGAGAGCCACTGGTTTTTCAAGTGAATGTTGGAAGGTGGAACTGGAAAAACATCAACCTCGATTTAAAATATCGGAAAATCCGAGCCAAATTTTATTTTATTTTATTGCAAGAAAACCGGCCGAGTTGATGCATAAGTCGCGCATAACGGTTTTGAATATATAAAAATTTTACGCAAAAACTATATGTAAAGATTGTTGCTTTTACTTTGATGAAATACAACAAGGGAGAGAAGATCGCCATCGAAGCATACGTTATTCTAGTTTTTGCATAGGGGTATTAATACTCTGCGTATGCATGACTGTGCAGGTGACTTTTTTTCCTCCTTGAGAGTCGTGAAAAATAGTCTCGTGATTTTTCAAGCTTGACTGTGGACTTATAATTGATTAAAGCTGGACCAAGTCCTTCGAATCAGAGACACACGTTGGCTCTAATGTGATACACTTTCATAACAGAAATGAAAATAGATTTAAAAAATGGAGAAAAAAAGCGTTTCTGTCAATTGAATCACTATCGGAGTCTAAATGCTCATCATAATGAATAAATGTGTTCCATTTTGATGAGGATGCCAACCTTAGCAAAACCCTACAAACAACAAACATCCTTCTTGAAAAAAGCTAGGAGAAAAAATACATTTTAAAACATTGTAAAATAGAATGTATTTGCTACAACTGAAGACTCGAAGGTATCCGTGTTGCATGCAGAGAAATTGAAGGCGCTTTGGCCTTTCTTGCGCTCATAGCAGCGCCGCGGCCAATGGCCAATCCAAATCTAATTGTGAATCAAAATTCACCGCACCGACAAGTTTACTAGGATTACGTGAGAAAAAGACAAGAAACAGAGCGAAAACGATTTAATGGTAGCGAATCTCATCTTGGCCGTGCTTATTGTGTGACAAAAAAAGGTAGACGAGAGCCGTACGCGTATCGGCAAATTTCAGTGTATCTTTTTAAGTTTTGCTGCTTTAGTTTTAAGAGGAACCTTTTTTTCAATCATTTACGCACACAATTTTCAAGATAACGATTTGCCCCGAGCTTAACTTTTTGAATTGCGTGGATTTTTGTGAACACTCCGAGTGATTTTATAACAATGAGTAACCATATTTCTTGGATAATTCCTGCACACTATGATCCGTCTCCTTCTGTAAATACTTCCAAACTGAGTTCCTCCTCGCACAAATGGTAAGCTGAAGTTACATTTTAATGAACCGCAATAGTTGTACAGGTTTTTGCAAGCCTCATTTTCTAAAAATATTTTAAACTACCTAATATTTTTTTTTTTGCTAATAAGATTCAATGTGAATTTAATTCAGCACAGATTATACTCGCGGCGGAGCAGTTATTGGTGGCCGCGATGGTGGTGGTATTAGTGAAGATTAAATCAAGAAGATTTAATGATGGAACAGAAGGAGAAAATTATTCGTACCATCGAAAACTATCATTGTGCATGCACCAAAGATACTTTATGACTTGTGTATGGACCCCTGTAGATACAGATTAAGTAAACAAGAAAACTGGTTACTAAGGCTGAAAAAAAAAACAAACAAACAAAAAACAAAAAATATAAACAAAGCCTGTGACGTTTTGTGGTGGTTACAACCCCCTGAAACAAAAATATATACAAATTATGGACAGCAAAATCCCTAGACATCCATTCGTGATAACAAATAAAACTGAGATTATCCTCGTGAGGTTTTTACATATTTTCGTTTCGTGGTCAAGCAGCAAGTTGAAGCCACCCCGATACATCCCAGTCTTTGTATTTGTGTTTGTTGTTTTTTAGCCTTGGTTACTCGTTCTTATGTGTTCTTGGTATAGTTAGCCAATTGGGTTCCATTCAACCGTTCTATGTCAAAAATTAATCAGCTGTGATACTATTTGTAATATCTTTTTGTCATGTATCATTATAAAGTTTAAATTTTATTATAACTTTATTTGTGCTTCATTGAGGATTTGTCCCTATCAAATTATACGAACCAATGCGAAAGTCAATGCCTTTTAATGAGATCGACATGATTGGACATCTCAGACTCAGTTCGGGATGAAAATTTTTCGTTTTTCGAATAAAACACCTTGAAATTATTCATTTCCAAATGCTCAATCTCCCCGAGATCAAACAAGGTCTGATTTGAAAATTACAGATACTCACACATGGCAGAGTGTGGCGATTTTGAAAACGATCGAATTAGTTAATCGTGCAGTCTGCCCAATGCCCATTCATTGGCAGTTCGAAATTTTTCCCAAAGATGCACCAGGTTAGTGAAATATACTTTGTGCGACTTTATATGCGCGCTTAAAAGATGTTTTAGATGCACGTAGAAGGAGAAGGTAAGATAATACTTCTCAGTTTACGACGTGCAAAATTCCTGTCATATTTGAATTCAATGTTTTTAAAAAAAAAAAAAAAAAAAATACGATCTGCCATTGTCATGGCTCAAAAAGTTGTGAAATTTTCGTTTTTCAAGAATATTCTCTGAATTTTTTATTCAAAAATTTCAGATTCTATTCTCGTGGAATAATAAAGTGAGGGTAAAAATGTCGAAAAACGATTGAGACAACTGATATAATTACAGCATTGGTTTGAGGGACAAAAAAGACCTACAAAATGAGAGAGAGAAAAAAACAAGTTGCTGATGAGAAGAAAACTTCAAGTTAGGCGTTTAGTTCCTCAATAGAGCGAAAAACGTTTCGATTTCAAGCGACGTGATCTCTTAGCCATGTTTGTGTGACAACTGTGGTCCAATTAAAAATCCAGTTACAATACCACTGATACGTCGCGTCGCTAGGCTGACAAGAGGGCGTGACTACGCTTAGAGATGAGCCCAGGAAATGATCGAGCAATGAGGTCGATAGGGTTCATCGTTACAATAAGGGCTAGTAGCTCATTAGAGTGAAACAAAAGACGTTCTCTGTACATACGGGGTTTATTTTAACTTAACTTATGTATGTGCAGTTTCTTAATGTCTTGTATTTATACAAATTTGTCTAATTTTAAGTTATTAGACAATTGTCTTATTAGTTAGTTAATATTATTCTAGATTTAATCTTATTTTCATACTCATTTTCTTCACATTCGCTCCATTTCATAATTGACTAACTTTAAGATATTTAATTAGTTAGTTAGTTATTATAATTTTGAGACATTCAGCGACTTAGGCTATTAACGTCTTTACAGGTAATTTTGAAAATATATAGGAGTATAAACGAAAATTTAGATTTTTAAATTAAGAGAGGTGAAGAGTTTCAGAATTTTGGTGGCAATATTAGGTTCATCGCATGTAAGAGGGTTTGTATTTCTGTTGATTGTAGGGGAGTAGATCTGTGATTGGAGATGTCGGAGGGAAGAGCAGTCCATAAGTATGTGTTGTACAGTAACAGTGCTAAATATGTATATCGACGGTGAAACTACCAAACCACGTATTTCGTTTGCGGTGTTTAAAAATCTACGCTCACATTTTATTTTTTTGAAGTAGACCAAATCAATATCATTCTTTGAAATTTTCGCGGAATTTTCTCCGCACGAAGAGGAAAAATCAAAGAAATTTTCAAGACTGGATGTTAAGTAGTTTTTCATTTAAAAAATAAAGTATGACAGGAAGTCTGCGACGTCGCAAACCGAGATACGTGGTTTGGTAGTTTCACCGTCGATATCATAGATGTGCTAAATAAATAATCAAAAAAAAAAAAAGGGTTCATCGTGAAGAGCAGTCACGTCCTTATGTTAGGATGGCGACGGATATTCAGCGGAGGCATTTTCTGCATGCATATGGAGCGAGGCAGGACTTCCTAGAAAAATAAGTCGGAAATTGATAATTATTCCTTGTGATGAATCTTTTAATGTATTGCGTGCTCGATATCACAGACGACTATGAAAGCACAATGCTATAAACAGTGTAGCTTGTAGTATCCCTCTTAGAATGAAGGCGCACTGCATACATTTTGTATGCTGTATCTGCAGAAACTGTATCCGCACTGCTGTATCTGTTGTAAAGTTGCGACTCGTCACATATGTTGGACGTGCATTCCGATTCTGGCCGAATTGAGGGTCATTAATTATTATCATTTGAGGAAGAATGGGTCGGAATAAAAAAATGTCGTCGACGGTAATAGATGCCCCTCCCCCCCCCCCCCACGGCATAGGCAACACCCATTGCTCCTCAGAGGATGACCCCTTGCAAAGACTAAGGCACGATAGAAAAGAGGCCTTATTCCGCATAATCTCTGTAGCACCTAATCAATAGCAAATTAAACCGATTCTATCCCTCCCAGTTTTTTCGTCTGATGCAGATAACGACACAAAAATCCTTATCTACTTCATACATGATTTCCGTAAGGTAGCGTGTTTGGGAGTTCGTTTTGGATTTTTCTCTTCAAATACTGCTCGAAAAAAAACACAACAAGTATGGCCTAGGTGGAAAATGAGTTTATTAGCCAGTAGGTATTATCGTATTATCTACAAAAAAAAGTATCGTTGTGCTTAGAAAGTACAAACATTTACGGAATCAAATTCGTTCAGAACCTTGCAAAACAGAGTAACGGAATAATATCGAGAAATCGAATATCTTATACACCGAATAATATTCTAATGATGTAAAATACACGTACGGTGCGAGAGTATCTTAGCGTCTATCAAAAGTCTCACTAGGGGGTGAGCAATTTTTCGACAAATTTTTTTCAATAATAACTGAAGTGTGGAAACTAAAGGTCCAGGATGAAAAAGGACAATGATAATTTATGAAGTCAGTTCTTCCTGCACACAATTACTTAAGTGGCTTTTTAATTAAACCGTCACACATATTCAAGATTTCTAAAGAACACGACTGTTCAATTTTTCAAATTCCAAGTTTAAATACAATTATGAAATGAAGTCCAATAAGTCTAAGTAATGAAACAAACGATTTTCAACAACTTCGAGAAATTGCTCTCATTTTCAGTTCTACCCAAGTTCCCGAATGTTTTTTCCCTCGCACTGCGTTCATGCATGATTCTTTCCTTTTTTTCACAAAAAGAGCTTATAGTTAAATTACTTAAAGGATTCTTCTCAAGAATGATTAAGGACGAATCTGCAATAGAAAATAAACAAAGTCTGCATTGATTAACGCTGACTCTTGTCAAGAATTTTACTCACCAATGAACGATCCTCGTAAAAATTGGTTGTGTATTAGAATTTTGAAAGATATCTGCCATAGGATATCTTATGGCTCTTATAGCCTAGCCATACGGTCAATAACAAATCCCATAACCAAGCTATGGAGACAATAAAAAATCCTATAGCCGGACTATGTTCCAAAATACTATTGCCCAGCCAATTTTTGCCAGGGGATGAGACTCTCTACACCATCTCCTAAATGAAAAACTAATAAGTAGGTAGATAAACAAACAAGTTTTTTCCATCTCCATATGCACAGTCAAATTTACTGTGCCTCGTCTGAATACACAAAAAGAAAACTAAAACTGACACGACGTTGCAAACGCTGATCCACTCCTCTGCTCCGGAAAAAGTTACCTTGCTGAATGCTGGAAGATTGAAGGGATGGTTTGATCTTTGAACCAACCACAAGCTACTGCTGGCTATCAATTAACTCCACTGCTGGTAATCCGATTCCGATCAGGGTTGGCTTTTCTTTGAGTGGCTCCGTTTTTGAGTCTCGGTTTCGCAAAGAACGGTGTCATCGTTTTCAAATTTGACCATGTCCTGTTGTCCGAGTGTAACTTTGCTTTCGTCAGAGAGAGTGAACGAATCTCCGACACTGCTCACCGCTATCTATTTTGATAATTAGGAAAAGCTCATAACTACTCCGAATAATAGACTAAGATTATAAATAAGTAAAATTTTTAAAATTTAAAAGGATCTTATCAATAAAAATTTAAATTTCTTTTAAAACAGAAGAAGCAATTTTTTCTTTGTTTTTTTTTTCTTCTTTATGAGAGGGGAAAGGGAATGCTCATTGAAAGCGGTTGGTAGAACTTTACACCGACGGGACGGTATGTATATAGTATAACTAGTCGTGATTAGCTCGCTTGGCGAGCTGACACGTCTAGCCGGGGAGTGCCCCTGGACCCCAGTTCTACGCTTCGCGACGAACTTGCGACTCGCTCCGCGAGCCGCCACCGCCCCGCACAGTTTTTAACATTGCTGAGGAGACAACATATATGTCTTAATCTTCTTTTTCACCAAGTTTTACAGAAATTGATATTCTAGGAGTCCGGACCGCGTTTTTGTGCGGGGCCGCCATCTCGGATTTGGAAATGTTGAAAATCGGACCAAAAATGCGAGTTTTCCGTCGAAATACACTTCCTAATACCGAATTTCACAAAAATCGATGATTCGGGAGCGAAGATAGCATTTTAGGCCACGACCGTCATCTTGGATTTTGAAATTTTGAAAATCTAACCAAAAATTCGAGTTTCTCGTCGAAAAATACCTACTGATACCGAGTTTCACGAAAATCGATATAACAGGAGCCGACTTAGCATTTTAGGCCACGGCCGCCATCTTGGATTTTGAAATTTTGAAAATCTGACCAAAAATTCGAGTTTCCCGTCGAAAAGTACCCCCGGATTCCAAGTTTCTCGAAAATCCGTTGAAAAATACCTCCTAAAACCTTATATTTCGTCTATAAGGCAGTGACGTCACGCAACAGGATTGAACCTGTTCGGCGCGATGCGCGTAAACAACCGCGTATCTCCAATGTAATACTATATGGAGAAATAACTTTTCGCTCTTGCGGGCATCCGAGGCAGCGGATTTGAATGGGAATAATTTTAATCAACTCCTCATTACAATAGCTAAGCGTGTACCAATTTTAAAGGAAATCGCTTCGGCCAATTTTTATCTAGGGGGGGCAGAGTGAGTGGGAACAGCAGCTTTATATAGAGTAAAGCTAAGCGTGTACCAATTTTAAAGGAAATCGCTTCGGCCAATTTTTATCTAGGGGGGGCAGAGTGAGTGGGAACAGCAGCTTTATATAGAGTAATAACGATGGTCAAAGTGCGAGACCACGTGCCTTCATTGCCATGTTTCAAAATTTCCGCTCCTGTTTTATTTTCTCCAAAAAAAGAAGCCAAATTTTTAGCTTTAAATTTATACAGAATATACTCAGCTAACAGAGAATAAAAATCAAGGAGGTTTTCAAAAAAACTGTGTTGACTCGCTTTCCGAAGAAAAAATAAAGTATGACAGGAAGTCTGCAACGTAGCAAATGGAGATACGTGGGTTTCGTACTTTAGCCATCGATAAGCGATCGACAGTATACTTTTTCTATTCTTGAACGTCGATTAGCTGTGCGTTTATTTGTCTATAGCAGGGACACCGTTGACTAGAATCGGCCTGACTACATCGAACGTTGCCTAATTTCCTTGCATGTTCAAATTTTTTCGCAAGAAAACTAAGCAACCTTCTGACTTGCAATTCTGTGAATACGCTCCTCTTAAATCATAGAAAATTCCAAGGAAGTCTCAACATGTTATGTGGTTTAGTTTTCTTTTTAAAAATGTGAGAGGATATTATGCGACAGGATATAGGGTTAGGCTGGTCCGAAATATTCGTCTAATTAAATCACCTTGAGGATATATCGTCGCCCCTGACATAAAGGGCGCAACTACACTCTGCAATGAACCCTGTCGTCCCTACAACTCAATGCCTTTCCAGGCTCATCTCAATGTGTAGTTACGTCCTTCTGTCAGCCAAGCGACGATATTATGCAGAGTGTCATTTCTGAAAATTCTCCAACAATTTAAAACCTGGTGGGGTAACATTGCCATGGGATGTTGAGGATCATCGGAATTGTGTAGCTCTTTCATTTGACATTAAGATAATTTTCCGATTTCTTTCTTTAAAAGTAACGTGGACCATTCACCGGGACTGAGACCTCGGACGGATACTATTTTCTCGCTAGGTCTAGCCCCCTTACCAGGTTTAGCTGTGAAAACATATTCTCTTGGAAAAAATCGCAGCGGCGCTGCTCTGCTCATGGGTGCGCCATACTTACGTCCTCGTCGTTGTCCATTGATAGCTTCTCGTACGAATCCGACGTAGAGAGATTCAATTGACTCAGAGTTCCGAAGTACCTCCTAGTAAAAAAGTAAAAAAAAAAAATAAACAAAAAAAAATTAAAGGAATACACGGAAAAAACAAGACTAGTGTTGAGCACTACTGGCCGTTTAGTGGGGAGTAGTTGAGGGCTGGCGTCTAAGCGCTGTACAGCTCAACGCCGGAGGGCAGTACAGGTGGGCACTGAACATGAGTAGTGCTAATCAGATGCCGAGAGACGTAGTTGCGCTTAACAGGTGTAAATTCACCCTTGAGACGTCCGAGCCTCGATAGCCTGGTGGTAACGCGCTGGTCTTCCACCGGCGCGACCCGAGTTCGATCCCAGGCCGAGGCATTTCATATTTTACGCTCGCTCCAAAGTCACTTTAGGGCTTGACACTACTTCTTCCTTAGTGACCCAGCCTCGAGCTGTTTAGTGCCCAGCACTCCTCTGACTTGCTGGCTCCATTTGATCTAACCCTCGTTAGTGCCCAGCACTAACATGTAGGTCTCAACCCTAAGCTCGTTTTTTCCGTGTACGTAACACGCAAAGGCAGAGTCTTTAAAGGTAAATTGAAATGGACAGAACAAATGACAAACCAATAAAAATGAGATAAATTTCACGTTGAACTTTTCCTAAAGGTGTAAGATAAGGAAAGTTATCATCCCACCTGGACTGAACGAAGAAGATCCACAACTGGACAGTGGTTGTCGAGTTGTCACGTGATCAAATGGTTTACTTTTCGACGCTTGCGTCTAAGTCTCCGCGCTTTCCTGTGTACTTGCTGTGTTAAGGAGTCGTCCTTAATAATAGAGTTGGACGAGGAAATGTTTCCCACCATGCCTATCACAGCCAACTGAACTGGACGAGTATAGGGAGTTGCGACTTTATGAAATGGTTTATTCTTTGACGCTGCGTTTAAGTCTCCAGGCTTTCCTTTCTCAATCTTATTAATATAGAGCCTGTCCATTCAACGGAAAAATTGTCGCCCCTCTGAAGTAAGGGCGTATCTCAATTTCCACATGAACCCTGGTTCATGTATAAATCCATGCTTTCTAGGGCTCGTGCGGAAATTTAAATACGCCCTGCTTCAGAGGAGCGACGAAATGTGACTTGGAATATCATAGTTTAGAGGTTAATTGTGGGATGGTTTTTTATTAAATGCCGCGTGGAACTTAGAGCTAGGGGCTAGGTCCGCAAAGCGGTGACAAGAAAAGCGTCACGCACTAATTCTTACAACGCGCCACTCTCATTCTGACCATCCGCCTTCAAAAACCAGGGTAGGCAAAGTGAGCGGCTTTGGAGCCGCAATAGTTGCGTGTAGCAAGATTATACGTTCACTGGGTCAGTACTTGACACGTTTTGAAATGACTCGTGTGGCGTATATGAACCAGGTTTCGTCCACACATGGGTGCGAGAAACCAACCTTGGTAGCTGCAATAACTACTTTTAATGTTTGAATTTACATATGAAACTCTGTGTAAAGAAATTCAAGCATCGATTATCCAATCTGTTGTGAAATAATAGTGTTACTTACTTTTCAGTAAAACATCGCATCAACTCTTCCTCAGTAGATGGTCCTCGTCCTTCTTCAGAACCTACGGATTAAATAGAGAAATAACATCAAAAGTTGACAAGTACTTGAAATTTTATGCAATTTTTAAATATTATGAGTGGAGAAAATTCACAAAAAATTCAAGAGTACCTGACTGCCGATCACCAAGAGAAACTGTCTGCATACGCGGTATATTTGAAATGCAGTCTTTGTTTGAAAAGGCGCGTTGCAAACTACTTAGATTGCGCACTAAGGAGTGAATTTCATACTTTTTTGATGTGCCCAACGTGATTTTCGAGCGAATTTACCCTTACAAATTGTATTGAATTGACTGTATCTCCTGCGTGCAACAGACCCGCTGGTTGTCTTTGTAGTGTTGAGCAATTTGAGTTTCCCTCTTAAGAACCATTTTGCCTAACTGCATCACATATTTTGTTGCGGATGAAAAAGGAGAGCATTACCTTCTGAATCTGCAAGAAGTTTAAATGAGTCTTCATTTTTTTCTAAAGTGAGGAGGCTATCTTCTGCCCTGTAAAAGAGGAGAAAACAAGAAAAAAGATGATGAAACGTTAACTTTTTTGGGGGGAAAATTGCCTTAGATGTTTTTCTTTGGTATGCAATCCGTTAACTAACATGGGTACATTACATGAGATGTAGTTTGTAGAAATTGCGAAAAACTAAAGGTGGAATTTTCACGATGCCCTCTCTAAGTTCGTTCATAGGTAAAGCTCTACTGTACTTGAACGCCTTGCTTCGAAAAGTCGGCAACTTGGAAACTAATGAGACTTCTATTTTATTGCAGAGAGGGTTATTTTGGGGCTACGTGCCTCATTTTACGCCTATCCATTTTTTCTTCGTCCCCCCCCCCTCCTTATTTTTGCATTAAGATGGTCAGTAGGTGCGAATTCCACTTGTTTCGTACAGAGCGCATCTCCAAGGTTTAAGAACGTTCATATCCGACCGTTTAAGGACCAAACAGTTTCATTTTTTGGTGTCTTTTGAAAACTGATTTACACGCACCAAAAACACCCTCCATTCACTGAAAAATTTCAACTGAAATCAGTTTTCCGTATTCTGGATTTTTCTTTCCTCGGAATCGGATACTTTTTGGAACGAGCGATTCAATTTAAAATATAGGGTTTCAAATGGACTAAAAATCTCAAATAACTTTAAAAAAAATAAATTAAAAAAAAATTGAAAAATAGTCACAGGTGGATCCAAGGGAGAGCATAGGGGGCGTGTGCTCCCCCCCCCCCCCCCCCCNGTTTGCTCCAATCAAAGGATGATAAAACAGGGAAGGAAGGGAGAGGGAAGAAACTGAGGAATGAGGAGGAGAAAACGCTTATATCTGGTAGTAATTATTCATGACGAGATTGACTCAAACTGCTTATCAGATGCTTTGAAATTTCGAAAATTTTGTGAGGGAAGCCCTCGGTCCCCCGTTCCGCCCCATTGGCGGACCCAGCAAATTAGCAACATTGTTTTTCTCCATTTAAACCTATGGAAATGTATCGATTCTTGGAGAGGCTATGTGCTCCGACAAGAATCGATCTTTTAACATAGGTTTAAATGGAGGGAATCAGGTGTTGCCAAATTGCTGGATCCGCCTCTGTTTCGCCCCCCCTTTCACGCCATTCGGCAAGACTGGATTCGCCTATGAATATAGTAAGGGTTCAAATTCAAGAAATCTACAGTACCTCCTGAAGTTGCGACCATGGAATATTTTGCAAAATACGAAGGAAACGCAAGAGATGAGCCAAAACGAGAGGACGAGGAGGACGACCGTGCACAAATAAAAGACTGCGCTCGGATGTTCCGGAATGTGAGACAGTATTTTCGGACGGTTCACAAATGCACTTCTGTTCGCGTGACGATCGCTCACGAGGCTTTTTCGGGAGCTCTGAATGTCCACCAAACGCTTATTGGGGGACGCCACTTCAATTTTTGGAGGAAGCTCGATAGTTGACACGGTTTCGGGGAGGCTATCATCAGGTTTTGATGCGTCTTTGGGTAATCCATAGTGCATGTAGTGGTTAAGATAATCCAGAGCAGAGGAGCTGCTTCGTGGCGAAAATCCGGAGCCAAAATTAATTGGGGGTGACAAACGTCTTGGAATGGCACATGCTACATTTGAGTCATGAAAACCTTGACGAACAAACAAATAATGAATGAAAGATCCTTGGTTCACAGTCATGCAGTTATTCGAATATATTAAGCATAGAGATACCCTACAGAAAATAACGAGATGGAACAGGTTAAGAATTTGGCTGATATCAAGTTGGATATCTGCAGTGGCGTGGCGTGAATTGCGATATATCGATTGTCATGCCATTTAAACCTATGGAAAAGGATCGATAAACAGGGTGTTCGCAGCGAACACCTTAAAAATCGATTCTTTACCATGGGTTTAAATGGCATAACAATCGATATATCGCAATTCACGCCACGCCACTGTTGGATATCTACTCTGCCGTGCTGAGGAAAACGCCGTATGATTCTTTAGACGTTGCCAAACGTCTTTTGACCAATCACGAATTTTCGAGAGAATTTACAAGAATTTCTCCTTAAATTTTCGGGAGAGTTATTAAAAAATTTCTCCGAATCTTCCAGAGAATTTTGTTCGAATTTCATTGAAATTGTCGGAGAATTTCAATGAGATACATCTATATCTTACCTCAAAAATAAATTTTTTTCTGGGCGGAAATTTGGTAGCATTCGAATGATCATACGGCGCTCCTGTTAAGCACACAAAACTGATAGCTATTGAATCTCTGCTGATATTTGTTAAATCTCTACCTACTAATGCTAGTAAACATTTTAGTGATACCAGGAAAATCTAAAATCTGCCTTCTCGTTTTTAACCATTGATATGAGTAGAAAATCAACGGATATGAGTAAACATCCAGTAAATATTGGGATGGACGTAGCATTTGTGATGTCTGATAATTTAAAAACTAATCACCGCATTAAAGAAATGATATAAGTGATTATATTTTAATTATATTGATATACAGTTTTAGTTAGGGTGATTGATGATTTACCTTCCTCTTTGATTGTTTCAATGATTCGTAAAACTCCGCCAAACCCAACGTACCAAGTTTCATCCTCTAAACGCGGGATAATCTATGAATAAGGAGTGGGTAGGTAAATTAGACACATTTTATTTTTCTATGATGGAAAGTGACATAAAGTTAACGTCAGAAAGTGAATTTCATACTCATGATAAAAACAACTCATCATCTTGGGAAAACGAACTCCTCATATTCTCTGAGAAAATGACGTAGCACTCTCCTAATACCTACATCGGGTCCTTGAGGAACACTGCCTTTATTGCTAAGGAAGAACGCCGTATGAACATTTGAGAGTTGCCAAATTTCCTTCGCTAAATCATGTATTTTTGACGAAATTTATTCACATTTTTCTTTGAAATTTTCAGATATATAAGAGTAAATTGCGTACAAAATTGTCTGAAAATGTTGGAAAAAAATGTTCAAAATTTTCCCAGTAAATTCGGTTTTTATCGAATGAAACTTGGCAACGCCTGAAGGCTCATACGGCGTTTTTCTTTAGCACGGCAGAACAGTCAGAGAGTCCGATGACATTTTTTGACATACTCGGGACACAAGTTTTGACAACTTAAATCTGAACTGACACGGAAAGCGGTTATCTGCCACGTGTTGGTACATACACTACAACGTAGTCAATGATTTCTTTCAGTGTCCGTGCATGTAAGGCTACCGGTTTAAGTGGCCGAAACATGTGTGTCGAGACTCGCGATCGTTACAAAATGTCATTGCGGGCTCTCTAACCAAAAGAACCATTCCTCTAATTCGATTGACACATGCTAAAAAGCGTAAATTTAAAATAAAAAACTATACAGCACTAACATGGAAAAATCCCGATTTAACTCAAAGTACCTGGAACATTTTGTTCTATGCAGTTAAGTGCTTTAGTGGATGGGTCAGATTCAGAAACATTAGTTCATCACTGGAAAATGCAGTCCAACCTACTCTACCAAGGCTTGGGGGTGGTTAGCAAAGTCAACACATCATTTCTATTGTCAACACTTCCGAAAGTCAAGCCTTGGTCTTAAAGGCTGCCGTGAGGTAGGTAACATCTGAACGCATTTCAATATCTGAATGAGTGTGTTGACTATGCTTACCACTCCTGCTGAGCCTGACTTCAGAAGTGTCCCAAGAGAAATAGGAAGTAACTTGCTTACCACCCACTCTCAGCGGCTAAGTATCTCGTCTGCGATCAAATTAGGGCTTGGAGAATCGCAAAATTTGATGTTTCAGAAGTTTTGTTTCACGTCTCTAGTCGGTATGACTGTGAACCCAAACGATGCTAGAAAAAGTTAAAAAATGACGAATAATTTATTTTCCGTCAGTCTAAAGCCGTGCTTCCTTTTGGGGGAACGTGTGTAATACTATCGATTAAAGACCAAAAAAAAAAAAAAAAAAACCGATCGTGCTGTCTATCTTAATTGGCCTAAGTGCAGAATCACACATCTCTATTCCAGAATTCCAAAATATCAATTTTTTTTTTCTTTTGAGAGAGAGAGAAAGAGAGAGAAACAATCTAATTTTCGAATATTCTGCTACCAGAGAATAAAATTTAAGGCAGTTTATAAGGAATTATGGCGGTTATTGGACATTTCGTCAACGATTTTTTGTCCACGCACCTGTTCTTTCTAGTAGTTTAAGTCCACGCATTTTTTCGGGACTACTATTTCGCCACGGAGGTGTTGCACAGTATCATACGAGATTGAAGGCACCTCAACGTATCGTGATTGATGCCATCTTTTGAAAGCAAGAAGTTCCCTCACAAATAAGTAACTGGAGTGACGAAGACAAAAAGTGAGCGGTAGTAGAAGAACTTACTGAGTCTTAGTATCTGTATTCAATAACGTTTAGCATGATTTTTTAACTTCATTAGAGGAACAAGTGACTTGATCAATCAGAAATATGCTCCAATTTACCACCGAGAAGATTCCCTCATGAATCAATAAAGAGAGTAACACTTGTCTAAGGGAATAATGCTTATATAAAAAAGAAAAGTTACTTCCTTTAAACAAAAACCCGCTCTCATTCCGCTATTTTATTCTTGATTCAAAATAAAACTTCTTACGGCATACTCAAGAATGTTTCTGCCTATAACGTCTAAATTTTTTCTCTAATGAAATTCAAAAATTATGCTAACCTTATTAAATACGGGTGCTAGTACTTAGTGAGTTTTTGGACTACCGCTCTCTTTTTGTGCCGTAGTATCTTGATTTATTTTACGAGGAACATTCTATACTCGTAAAGGATACCTGTCATGTTTGATACGTTGGAGAGCCTTCAATTCCGTATGATTGTGTGCGACACCTCTGTTGCGATCTAGTTGCTTGAAGCGCCGCAGCGCGGCGGGCGAGGGTGACTAGCGCGACACGCGCACTGGCGCCTACAAACCTAACTCGATACTCCACGCATTGCGCAATGCGTGAAGTATCCCTGTTAGGTTTGTAGGCGCTAGTGCGCGTGTCGCGCTGGCAGCACGCCGTAAGCTGCTCCGCTATGTGTTTGGCTCTGATATTTAAACTCGCGGAGCCAGCGTTTTTCAACTCATAATTTCGAAATGTTTGCACACTCTGCGTAGATTATTCTTATATAAATTGATGGGGGGAAAAATGTATTAAATAAAAATATAATGTGTGTTTTGTGAATATTAAGGTGGCTCCGTGTCGAAATTCCCGTCAACGCTTGAACCAAGTCACTGTTGCTTATTTCACGCGTGGACGTAAGCTACAGGACAAAATAGGTGCGCGGACATAGAATCGTTGACGGAATGGCCGACATTATGGCGACTAACTTCTAAAAGAAAAAAATAAAGCATGACAGGAAGTCTGCAGCAACGTCGCAAAAGGAGATACGTGGTTTCACTATCGATAAACGATCGAGCACCTAACTATCGATTTTTTTCCTAGGTTTAAACGGCAGATCAATCGATGTATTGCAGAGCACGCCATGCCACTGAAACACGAGCGCCTTCAATTAATCTATATGCAACACAGACATCCCATGAACACGAATAGTTGCATCTAGGCTCTGACGCACTATAGTGTGGTTCTGAGTTCGTCCCGTCGAGTGGCGTTGTGGAGATCGGAGTGGGATTAGAACTGAGGGTCACGCAGTAAATAAAGTCTTCATTCATGAATAAAGAGGGTGAATGAAGCAGTCATGAATAATAGGACGATGTTGCAGGCAATTTTTTATAATTTTACAGGTAACTAAGGAGTCTTGCAGGCTGATTGTCGAAATTGGTAGACAAAGCTATAGACAAAGAAGACAAAAAGGATGTGGAGGGATCCTATTGGTGAAAGCAGGTAATTGCAATGGACAAAGGAGGTAGTAATAATAGACTAACTAACGGCAACCCTCGAGGGACCCTTTGGTTGGTCCATCATTTACCCCTTTAGTCTACAAGAATCACTCAAATTAACCAATAGGGTCGCTCTATACTCATTCTGTCCTCTTGTCAGTCGCTTTGTCTATCAATTTCAACAATCAGCCCGATGGTGCCTTTGTACGTAAGATGTTAACTTAAAAATGACGAGAAAGTTTCTATTTTTATTAATTTTTGAAATTAATTTCATCGCTATAATTGAATAGGGGGTGAGGAGGAAACTTATATCTAAAGTGTGACTCCTACTGCTATTTTGAGTGGTGGAAATGGTGATGCGCATTGTCAAGATGAAGAATTGTCATGATTTACCTCCACCAGGTCTTCCTCATCTTCGAGAACAGGGAAAAAGAGCACATCAACATTTCGCCACTCTATTTAGGCATTTCAGTATGTACTTTATATGGCACGCTGTCACTCATTCATATAACAACCCATTTTTGCATTTTCCCTCTGTCGCATGATATCGCAAATTTTTATCCGCGTTTTCTTTTTCGAAAAAATGATCGCTAACATTTTCAATTTTGACGGGAAAATTCGGGATTCTAGGTATTCACAAAAAACCTGCGTCATAGATTTATATGCCTCAGAGTCAAAGATCCAAAATTAATTCATGCTTTGGAGGGATAACTCAGTACCGATATTTTTGAACTTACCTTAGTAATAATCCAACGGTAAAACTGGACTTGAAACGTCTTAATAGGATTATAGTATTTCCCTTGAAAACATTGAGTAGGGAAGGTTTTCTCTCGACTCTCTTGACTGGGTCTCAGGAAGTCCTTCGCCTTGTTGTCGAGACACAAAACGCTCGTTGTGTAGTATCTGATGAGAACGTCAACAGAGGCGGAACTTGACAAGCTGTACAGACTGCGCCTCTTGAGAGGCACAGCCATAGCACGGGGTTTGTCATCGTCGTCCAGAAATGGGAGCGGAATTTTCAAGTCGCTTGGAGTCAAATGAAAATCCTCACGCGATGCATCACTCGAGAACCCCCTGGGAGCTGAAAATTAAGCATTGACACTCACAAAATGACATCTTATTGCAGAAGTAGAAGTTTACTTAAAATCATTAATAACTCAATTTTTTCAAAACCTGCACTTGTGCGCCTTGTCCTCCAAGCCCCTCAATATTCCTCACTCAGATCGAGAATTAAGTTCAACTTTTAAGGTCCAGTTACACGATCAAATTGAGCCATCAAATTGGGCCTCTCATTGGTCGCATCCTCACCTCAGGTCTTTTTCCACCAATCAGAGCTTCAGTTTGATGGCTCAATTTGATCGTGTAACTGAACCTTTTTGTGAGGCCCTCATGATGGAAACATAGGTGGATCCAGGGGGGCACCCGCTTTCTCCCGTTTGCCCGAAAAAAAGGCGGGGGAAACATTGGGAGAGAGAAGGAAGAAACGGAGGATAGAAGACGGAAAAATGCTCATAATGAATGCTCATAATGCTTGGTAATTGTTCATGAAGAAATTGACTTAAACTGCAAATTAGATGCTTTGAACCAGCCTCCTGTGGTGTAGTGTTTGTAGCGCTGGCCCTATAACCAAGAGCTCCCGGGTTAGATTCCCGGCCAGGTGACCTGAGTTTGATGATCTCAGGCAATGGTCACCTGGGGCTGGTGGTAAGCGTAGAATTAGCCAACATGTGCTATTTGAAGCTTGTTAAAAAAAGGGGGGGAAGAAGAAGAAAAAAAATTCGGAAAATTTTCTGGGGGAAGCCCCCGTGGCGCCTACAAACCTAACAGGGATACTTCACGTATTGCGCACTGCGTGAAGTATCCCTAATAGGTTTGTAGGCGCCACTTCCCCCCGAACTCGCTCCTTACGCCCCTCTCCCAGGCAGAATGGACCAGTAGACAAGGCTCAAATTTCTGCATTCTGATACACGTTTCATAATCAAAATTTCACGTAAAACACGATGCGCACATCGAAAATTACCGAAATCAACCCGTTATGAAGATATTTAATGATTCTTGATGCGTGAATTCAAACCACCCGCTCATGAAAACTCAATGCTCTACGTGACTCACATCGCGCGCTAAACGTTATCATGACAGTCTCTGCGATATAAAAATCTGGCAACCTTAATCTTGACGCTTTAGCTCAGCTAATGCAAGTTGTTCATAGTTTGAACAGTACATTGTGGGAAATGAACATCGCTTGATTGAGAAGCTTGCTGAAACCGTTGTAGTGCACGATTTGACTCACGTAGACCTTTGAGTTTCTTGTCAGCGGGCAGTTCAAATTCCTCGTAACCAATGTGAAATATAAACGTTAATATCTTTGTTAGGAGTTGATTTCGGTAATTTTCGTTACGCAAATCGTGTTCTACGTGAAATTTTGGTCAAGAAACATGTATTAGAATGCTTAAATTCGTAGGTACCTTGTCTATTGGTCCATTGTTTAGATTGGCCTATGGGTGGAAATAGTGCCTTATAAGTAGTGGATACTTCCGCTTCATATACCTCTAAATTCTTGGGTGATGAGGGCTTGACAGGGATCTTCGACATCGGCAACCGAGAGTTCTAAAGATTCTGCTCTCCGCGCGAATCCGCTCAAACTTACTGGATCTCCCCAGCCTTTCCCATCAGTGCCTAAACTTTCCTTCAATCTGCTTGCTAGGTCGTATAAACGTTTCATCTGTGGGTAATTAATTTTCCCTTCATAATAAGCTTCTTTAGCGAGCGGTAAACCGTAGGTCTTGAGGTAACCACCTACCTAGAAAAAAATCCTGAGTTAATATAGCATAAATTAATGGGGCTAAAACGCAGATTGGTGGTGAAAGGCATGTCACTTGTGATTTTTCAAGCTGACCCCGGCACAGGATCAATTTTTGACATCTTTAGACGATCTTTGCGTCAAATGATGCAGATTCATGCAGTGGAGAGGTTTGAATAATCGCGTATCGGTATCTCCCCATTTGAAGCTATAGTAAAGAATCGATTATTAAGGTGTTCGTTGCGGACACCTTGTTGATCGATTCTTTTCTATAGGTTTAAATGGCAGATCAATCGATATACCTACTAGCTACAAAGCACGCCATACTACTGCCTCCAATTGCTCCTGCATTGTTATTCCCTCCCTTTCCTACCTTATGGTAAAATATGGTCCGATTTCTTCATACATATAGAATGTTCTGTAAAAAAATCATTAATTGAAGTCCATTTGCTTTTCGTCAGAGAAAAATTAAGAAATAAAAAAGAAAATAAAACAACAGCGAGTGGTTTGAAACGTCGCGAACGAATTTCATGATATTCGACACGCAGCATCGATCTATTGACCTGCACCGAATGCACACCTTGCATTCGGTTTATTTTACGTGTTTTTATGGGATATTCGGCAATGTCTGAAGGCTCATACGATGTTTTTCCTTAGCACGGCAGCATCGTGGTATACTGCCGTGCTAAGGAAGAACGCCGTATGAGCCTTCAGACGTTGCCAAGTTTTCTCCGATAAAAACCGAATTTACTGGGAAAATCTTCAATATCATTTTCCCAAATTTTCAGACAATTATGTACGAAATATAATCTAAAATATCTGAAAACGTCAAGGAAAAATATGGATGAATGTTGTCAAAAATACAAGTTTTATCAGGGGGGCGACTTGGCAACTCTCGAATGTTCATACGGCGTTCTTCCTTAGCAAGGCAGTATAAGCCTCTTTCTTCAGACATGTCCAGACATGTTGCGCTTTCGAATAGGGTAACACTATGTCGTCACCTTCTAGCCAAAGTATCTTAAGCGTCATGCGTCGTTTAAAAATTTCCGTCGCAATTTTATTTGTTTTACAGAGAAATTGTCAGATGAATCTGTTTGAAAATTTCACTGAATTTTATCGGCAGCACAAAGAAAATTCAGTGAAATTTTCAGACAGCTTCGTTGAAAAATTTCTCTGTAGGGAAAATGAAAAGGCGGCGGAAATTTTCAAACGTCGCATGGCGCTTGTAATACTTTGGCGGTAAGGTGACGATGTCAGGACACGGTGACGGCACTTATGCTTGACCGCCCTTTGCCACCCACATGTCACTCTAATGGCGCCCTCCTCCCAGGGTGAGTGACGTAATTTATGGTCAGTGTTCGAAACTCACCTCAAAGTTTTAGGAGCCAAATGGCGCATCAAGTCCGATTTTTAGGCGCCATTGAAGATTTTTCTGGAGCCAAATTGACTTTTTGCCTATATATTACGGTGCATTTAGTGAAAAGTTAGCTGCAAGATGTTTTCGCAACAGAACTAGTAAGTAGCTGTAAGTAACTTGGGGAAGACAAAAGCGCAAAAGATGAAATCGTGAAGAATAGAAAAAGCTTTCACTTGTAGTATTGAAAATTTCGAATAATCACCTAATATGAAAGTTCAGATTATTAGGGGGCCACGTTGGCGCAGAGCCTTCATTTTTTAGGCGCCATGGCCGATTTTTTAGGCGCATTTGGCGCGTTGGCGCCTTGAGTTTCGAACACTGTTTATGGGGGGCCCCTTACCGTATCAGCAAAAGCAGCGTAGAGCAACCGCCGGGCGGCACTGTGTGCGGGAACCTCTCGGACGGTTCTTTCGGCAAGCTCAAAATACTCGCTCATGCGGACAGGATCCAGAGGAATCCTGTTAGGGACGAGCTCCTGCGTGAGGCGCCTGGCCAGAAGAAGCGCCACATCGCTGCGCTCCCAGCAGTCCTTCTCCAAGTCCATCTCCCTGAAAAGCACCGTTCTCACATTCGAAAATCCACGATCAACCCCCTCTTGGCTTGGCAGACCCCAACAGATCACCAGAATAAACAACACGAACCACCGATCAGTTCGCATCATGAGCACTTCCGCGCCTGAGCTTTCGGCAAAGTTGCATTACGCCTTCGCGTCGGTGACACCAAAAATCTTACGGGGGCAGATTTTTTTTATTACTTTATTTTATTGGTATATATTAACAAACTACAAAGAGTATTCAGTTGCCTCACAATTATGATGACTAGCATATCAAAACAAGTGGAGACTTAACATTAGATTGTATGAGGTTAACGCACGGAATCTCAGTCGTCATTCATCTGACGATAGCTCTTCCTCAGCTTGGTTAAAAGAATAATATACAGCACCACCGTGCCAAGGAAAAACGCCGTATGAACCTCTAGGTGTTGCCAAATTTCCATCGAAAAATTACGAATTTATTGAAAAAATAGACAATTTTATTCGTGGTCCTATCTAAATTATCCGAAAATTTCAAGGAAAAACATGCATAAGTTCCTTCAAAAATACATATTTTTTCGGGAACATATGACAACTCTCGAGTGTTCATACAGCGTTTATCCTCGGTACAGGAGAACAGCTGTTCAAGAAATTTGAATTTTTTCCAACGAGGTTATTAGAGTGGAAACCTAATGATCGGTGCCTTTTCCCATTTTTTGACCCTTTCAACCCAAAATACGCATACATACAATGCCAACATATGCCCAATAGCACAAGCGCTCATGCTTCTTGCTATCGTGGAGCTAGTGTTGCTGTTACACATGTAGCGACATAAATCAATGGAGTGCTTGCATGTCCATGACCAAACCACCTCCATGCGAAACCTTATATCTCCATTGCGGTGTTTCAAAATTGCTGCACGTATTTAATTTTTATTTCAGGGACAAGCAAACTTTATAGCTTGAAAATACAAAATATTTTGCGAACAGATAGGATAGATCGAGGGAGTTTTCAAGAAAATTCATTGAATAGTTTTTCAAAGAAAAAATAACGTATGATCGACAGGAAGTCTGCAACGCGTTGCAAACGGATGAGATACGCAGTGGCTATCGATGTGTCAGATATTTGCGATTTATAGGGATTGATTCTATCTACCGGAAGTTGATTTCAGAGGAAACCAGTGGCACAATCGTGTTTCTCGGAAAATTTTACATGAGAGATAGTACCTAAATCGCAAATCTCCGACACCCGCAAGAACTATGCTAATAAAGTTCTAGCCCAGCTATTTAAAGTTGTGCTTATTGCCATGAGCACCGCAAAGAGCACTCGCGTCTAACGTGAAACCAGTAATTTAGCGACATTTGTTGTGTTGTTATATCCCGACGGTTTGTTTACTTTCGATGTGATTCACTCAAACACTACATCTGGCTCGTCACCCTCGGTACTCTCCAGCTTACAATAAGTCACTTCCTGATGAAAGATCACGTAGCGGTGTAGCCGTTATGTTATATTACATGCTGTTCACTTATATTGGGGGGGGGGCGCAATCACTCCAGGGCCCCCACCACAAGAACCCCCACTACGAGATAGGTACTTTATTTTTTCATTACGCTAAAGACTGCAAAAGGGTTGCTCAAATAAATAATAATCAATCAATTTAATTTTCAAGTCCCATGGAAGAACCCATGCAGGCTATAATCTGGTACAAAATCCACAAAATTTGCATCGTGGTGGCCTTAAAAGCCATCTATAATGGAGGTAGTTTCGGAAATTTTCTGGGGGAGGCCCCCGCCCAATGGGCCTCTCCCCATGGTCCAAGGTTGGGTATCATATTTTTAATGGAGACCAGATTCCTCTAGAAAATGATTAGCTCCACCTATGCTTGGGAAGGGGGGGCGGAGCTTACCATTGGGTCGTTTTTATTGATGAATGGACCACTAGACAAGGTATGAAATTAAGCATTCTGATACATGTTTCGGGACCAAAATTCCGCGTAGAACACGATTCTTGTATTGAAAATTACCGAAATCAACTCCTAATGAGATTTTAACGTTTTTATTTTACATTGGTTACCGGAAATTTGTATTGCTCGGTTACAAGAAACGAAATACTCTACACGCTACGTGAGTCCAATCGCGCACTACAACGGTTTTGGTAGGCTTCCCCTGGTAAAAATTGGCAGTAGAATCTGTGTTCCAAAATACCATAGACCTACAGCCGACTGTAAGATTTCCAATAGCTTCTACAGCCGGCAACACAATTTCTCATAGCCTTTTAGTCCAGTACCAATAGATCTAAAAAAGGGGGGGTATGAATGCAAGAAAGAGGTCAGAAGAGGTTAAAGCTGATTCTTATGTATTTTTGGTCGCTGAATCCGAATTTGATGCTTCCCACCAAATCCGCCATGTGCTTTTTTCCGGAAAAGCCGGAAAACTGCCGAAAATCACGTTTTTACGCGCTTTTCCGGGAATAATAGCTTAATATTCGTCGGAGCGTAAAATTAGTTATCAGCAAAGGTGTAGCCTAGTAAATTTACCGTCATTTAATCGTCACATTTCGGGCTATTTCATCGTTGTTATTGCGTTCCCTCTATTTGTATATCGCTGCTGATTGTCTGTAAGCGAGCAATTTCACTCTATAACGAAAGTAATCTTCCTTCAGCCAAAATTGGACGCATTTGAATCAAAAGAAACTACATCCGTTAGGACATAAGCCTTGCCAACCATGCATTCGTATGGATCTGTGGGATTATGTCAGAATGGATATGGTTCCTTTTAATATAAAGACGTTCAATTCAATGTGCTTCCTAATTACTTTCTTTTTTTTTTTTTTTTTAAACACTGAGGACAGGTGAATTGCCTGCGTGTGAAACTAGAAAAAGCTGTTTTCCATATTATTATTTCGCTTCAATGAAAGTAACGTGTTACATAATATCTCAGAAAGCTATTTCGCGACTTACAATTACTTCCTGCCATTTGCTGGTTTATCCTCAGAAGAACTCTTTCCACACCACCTTAGAGAACCCCTTTTCAAAATTAAGATTTAACCGTTACCAAAACACATATGACTTCAATTAATGTTTGTTTTGGTGACGGCTAACTCATCAATTTGAACTGGGAAAAACCGA